CTTCATGATAAACAGAAAAGATTGAAGTTGTCAAAAATTTCATCTTGCTGGAATCAGGTACCAGGCATCTAAGACACAGAACAAAATTATAACCAAGGTGAAAGGTGGGGTGGGGCATGGGGTGGAGACCCAATGCCCATCTGTAGACAATTGGACATCCCCCTACAGAAGGGTCACAGGGAAGAAATGAGCCAGTCAGGGTGCAGTATAGCACCGATGAAACACACAACTTTCTTCTAGTTCTTTGGTGCTCCCGACCCCCCCAGCTATCATGGCCTCAGTTCTACCTTACAAGTCAGATTAGTCCAGAACCCGCAGCACAGGGAATCCAGGATAAATTAAACCCCCCAGGGTCAACAATGAGAGTAGAGAAACCAGGAGGATTAGGAGAAGGGGTCAAAAGGGGAATTTGTCTCAAGGATCAACCTATAACCCCCTCTCAGGGGGACAAACAATGAAAAAGTGGGTGAGGGGCAACGGAGGACAATGTAAGATAAGGAAAATAATCTAACTTATCAAGGGTTTGGGAGGGAGGGGAGGGAGGGGAAGAAATGGGGAGCTGATATCAGGGGCTCAAGTGAGAAGAGAATGCTTTGAAAATGACGGCAGCGTATGTGCAAATGTGTTTGACATACTGGATGAATGTATGGATTGTGATAACAGCTGTATGAGCTCCCAATAAAATGATTCCTTAAAAAAAATTTTTTTTTCATCTTGCTCGGATCCGCAAGCAATTTCAATGCTCGTGAAAGCAGCAAGCAAGATACCAAATAATGCTTTGCTTTGGGTAAATCCGCTGCACAAGACCTCTTTAAAGTGTTGATGAGCAAGGATACTATTTTGAGGACCAAGGTGCGCCTGACTCAAAAGCCACACTATTTTCAGTCACCTCCGATGCCTGTGAAAGTTAGCCCTTGAATAAAGAAGACCCAAGAAGAGTGGATGTATTTGAGCTATGGCATTGAAGAAGAGTATTGAAAGTACCATGGACTGCCAAAAGAAACAAATCTTGGAAAAAGTATAACCAGAATGCTCCTTAGAAGCAAGGATGGCAAGACTTTCCAGTGTTGGCATGTCCAGGAGACCAGTCTCTGGATAAGGACATAATACTTCATAGAGAGTCAGTGAAAAAGAGGCAGACGACCAGGAAGATGAATGGACACAGTGGCTGAAACGATGCATAGCAATTGTGAGGATGGGCGCAGGGCCGGAGTGTTTCTGTCTCTTGAACCTAGGGTTGCTAAGAATCAGAATGACTCCAGGCATCTCACAACAACATAATATGGTAATTCTGTTTCTCTGAGGAATATCAAACTTTTCTACAGCAGTTTTAGTATTTTATATTCTTACCAACAGTGGATAAGGACTAGTTTCGCTACAGCTTTGCCAATATTTTTTTAAAACATATTTCTGATAATAGCCGTTCCTAGTGAATTGGAAGTTGGATAGCTAATAGCCTTTGATGCACAACACTAACCCAGAGTTATTGCTGTGGAGTTATTTTGACTCATAGTGCTGCTGTAGAACAGAGCAGACTGTGCCATAGGGTTTCTAAGTCTGTAATCTTTGCAGAAGCACACTGCCACATCTTTGTCCTGTGGAGCACCCTGTGGGTTAGAATTGCGGACCTTTGAGTAACAACCAAACGTAGTCACTGTGCCACTGAGGCTCTTTGTGATACACAAAGGTCTTTTTTTTTTAATACTGATGCAGTCCAATTGATCTATTATTTCATGTGTTATTTGTGCATTTATTGCTCTCTCTAATAATTAATTGCCCTGTGCCAGTCCTAGAAGGTTATTGTTTTCTTCTCAGAGGTTTATGATCTAAGCTTTTCTGTTTAGGTTGTTGATTCATTTTCTACCCACTTTGTATAAGGCTTCAGGTTAAGAGCCAGTGTCATTCTTTCACAAGTATAATTTGCTTTTTGTAACCTACAGGTGCTCCTTGGACTATGAGAAAATTTCATTCCTAAGTCAAATTTGTAGGTGAATCAGAATACTTGGTTTCTAACATCTGTTAATCAAACTTTGTCTTCATATATAACAATGTAGTGTATGTACCCTTTTAAGCATAATAAAGGAATACTTCTAGACACTGTAACATGATCATATAGTAATAATTTTTTATGCGTGTTACAAGGTAGCATTTGTTTTTGTAAACTAGTTTATGTACATCAGTCTTAAAATACAGGGCTTAGTTGGTACATACAGGTTGTACATAATTTAGGTGTTCGTATCCTGGTGACTGCCTGTGCTTTCATTGTATGAACTCTTTGAGAAGATTTGTTCCTGTTAGTAATTGTATTTACAACTTGTTTTTTATTTGTTATTCTACATTTCAGTTCAGTTGTATTGATGACATTATTTCAGTTGTGCAGGCATTCTCACCCTCCTTTCCGAATTGCACTTTCCCTGTGAACACACATGCTATGCCTCCTAGGGTTCCTGTTCCATCTTTTAAGTTGCTGCTGCCAGTTTGATCCCATATAAATACTTCTAGAGAGTAGAATTCTCAAGGCAGTTATTTTTTACTAGTTAAACTAAACTTGTTTGGTTTTAAGAATTATGAGGGTAAAATGATTTTAGAGATATTTTTGGTATAAGGATTAAAGAGTTATCGTTTCAGGGGTTCATCTGGGCTCCATGGCTCCAAAAAATTTGGAGTCTGTGAGGATTTAAAATTCTGTTTTGTTTTTTAATTTCTTTTTTCTTTTTTTAAAAATTAATTTATTCTTTTCTAGGTCATTAGTTTTCTCTTTTGTTGTCATCGTTGTGTTCTCTTTTGTCGCTTTGTTGTACTATGCCTTGTTTTTTGGTGCATATTATGATCTCTGCAGGTCTATCTAGATAAGATAGGCTGGATGAACGGTCTGGAGGAGAAAACAACGGGACCGATGGTTCCAGGGGGACATGGGAGAGGGGGAGATGGGGGAAAGGAGGTGGTGTTGATCAACCCAGGGACAAGGGAGCAACAAGTGATCCAAATTAGTGACAAGGAGGGTGTGAGAGGCTTGGTAGGGATTCAGCAAGGGCAATGTAACCAAGAGAAATTACTGAAACCCAAATGAAGGCTGAGTATGATAGTGGGACAAGAGGAAAGTAAAAGAAAATAGAGGCAAGAACTAGGAGGGAAAGGGTATTTATAGAGGTCTAAATATAGGCATGTACATATGTAAATATATTTATATAGAATGGTGGGGAAATAGATCTGTGTGCATATTTTTTAGGTTTAGTATTAACGCAGCAGGTGGACATTGGACCTCCACTCAAGTACTTACTTTGTTCTATTTAATTGACATTCTATGATGGATACCTTCCCGACGCAATCGCTAAAGACAAATGTGTGCAAAAGCAAATGTGGTGAAGAAAGCTGATGGTGTCCGCCTATCAAAGTTATAGCATTTGGGGTCTTACAGGCTTGCAGGTAAGCAAGCAGCCATCTAACTCAGAAGCAACAAAGCCCACATGGAAGAAGCACAGCCTGTATGACCACGAGGTGTTGAAGGGATGAGGTATCAGAAATCAAAGAACAAAAAATCGTATCATTGTAAATGAGGGGGAGTGCAGAGTGGAGACCCAAAGCCCATCTGTAGGCAACTGGACACCCCCTTACAGAAGGGTCGCAGGGAGGAGACAAGCCAGTCAGGGTGGAGGGTATCAACGATGAACATACAACTTCCCTCTAGTTCTTTAATGCTTCCTTCCCCCACTATCATGATCCCAATTCTACCTTACAAATCTGGCTAGAGCAGGGAATGTACATTGGTGCAGATAGGAACTGGAAACACGGGATCCAGGACAGATAACCCCTTCAGGACCAGTGGTGAGAATGGCGGTACCAGGAGGGTGGAGGGAAGGTGGGGTAGAAAGGAGGAACTGATCCCATGATCTACATGTAACCTCCTCCATCAGGCATGGATAACAGAAAAGTGGGTGAAGGGAGACACCGAACAATGTAAGATATGACAAAATAATAATAATTTGTAAATTATCAAGGGTTCAGGAGGGAGGGAGGGGTAAAATGAGCTGATATCAGGGTCTCAAGTAGAAAGCAAATGTTTTGAGAATGATGGTGGTAACAAATGTACAAATGTGCTTGACATAATGGATATATGTATGGATTGGGATAAGAATTGGTCAAGCCCCCAATAAAATAATAAAAAAAAATTCTGTTCTGTGTTTCCCTTCTTTTGATCAAGAGTTCTACAGAACAATCCTTAGTCCAAATGTTCAGTAGTGGTTTCACTCTATACAGTTTGTCTGGTCTCATGACAAAGGTAGAAGTTGTTCATAAAGGCATTTAGCCACACATTCATATCCTCCTATTCCCAACTCTCCTTCCTTTATTGCTGCAGGTAAATAGACACAAATTGTGCCATGTTAGTAATTATAAATGAAAAAATTAGCTTTTAAAAATAAGTAGGTGGAGGTTTACAGAACAGATCCTAGTTTGACATTCAACAGCTTGTACACATTCTGATGCCACTCATCCTCATGCACCATCACTTTCCCACCAGCTCCCCGCGTTTCCTGCTTCCATTCATCCTGTTCTCTCTCTGTCCTCAGGTAAACGTTGTACTCTTTAAAAATCTGACCATTTTATTGACATAGGATGTATGCACTATACAATTCAGTCTTTTTAGAATAAATCTTAAAGACCTTATTGAAATACTTTATGAAGAACTCTAGTGAAGTATAGGTGACACAATTGTCTTCAGAATGGGAAGGTCTTCTGGAACAACATGAAATAGCATTAATGCCTCTTTAATGTTCTTGTATGTGCTTTATGCTCTTTGTTACGGTTGAATGCTATTTAATCTACTTTCTTATTTCCTGTTTTTCTTGTATACTAATTATAAATTTATCTGCCTTTTTTTTTCAAGTTGAAGTAATAATAATTATTCAATCTAGATTTGTTTTAAGTTTGTTTTCTTGAAGTAATTTTAGTAGTAAAATATTTGTTAATGCTAATTAATGCTTTGATTTTCTTAATAATAGATTTATACCTAAAACTGGAAGATGTGACCCATAAATTTAATAAGCCCTGTATAATGGATGTAAAGATAGGACGAAAAAGCTATGATCCTTTTGCTTCATCAGAGAAGATTCAGCAACAAGTCAGCAAGTACCCATTAATGGAAGAAATTGGGTTCTTGGTGCTTGGCATGAGGGTAAGAGTTATTTTTAAAATACACAATTCTCTTTATTGTATTCTTTTGAAAATTAAAGGTATAGATACATTTTAGAATTACAGAAAATGATAGATATATCCTCATATATCAGAGCAGCCAAACCCACTGCTATTGAGTTGTTATGACTGATAGCAACCATATCTAGGGTTTCCAAGACACTGTAAATCTTCACAGGCTCAGACAACCCCAAAAGCTCCTCAAGTGAAATCCAAGATCAAGACGATGTCCGTTTGCTTTTTTGATAGTGCTTTTGGAGTCCGTTGTACCAGGTCAAACTCTTAATCAAGCTTTCTTGTACAGGTTCTGAAAAGATTGTGTAACAGTATGCAACAAAAAGGGCCTGATTTGTGGCAGATGAGGGACTGGTTTTGCCACCTCAACAATGTAACTACTCACACAGCAATGTCATTGTGCCAGTTCTTGGGAAAAGAATAGCATGCATTTCTTTCCCCACACACCTTACTCACCTGACCTTGCTCAGTGCAACTCCTTTTTATTTCTATGAATGAAGAGGGACATGAAAGGACAGTGATTTGATGACACAGAAGTGGTAAAGGAAAAAAAAAAGGAGGTTCTGCTAGCCATCAAACAGATGAGTTTGAAAAATGTTTCTAAGAATGGAATCGGAGATTTGACAAATATATTAAGTGTAATGGAGAGTACTTTGAAGGTGATACGGTTGTTTTTTTAAAAAAAAATACACGGCTTTGAAGAAAAATTCTGATTTTTTTTTTGTGGGGGTACCACCTCGTTTATGTATTTTTGTGACATCATCCAGCATATGTGGTTTGTTTTTTTAATCTAGCATAATGTTTTCAATTTTCATGCATGCAGTTGGTGAGCTTCTGAGATTTTTCTGCCTTTTAGAAATTATTCTTAATGCTGTTCTGAGCATGCGTGTTATGTGGCTATATGCTTTCATTTTTCTTGGGTATCTACCTGAGAGTGGAGCTCCGGAGTCTGATGACTCTCCAGTTCACCTTTGGAGGATCTGCCAGGTGGTTTTCCTTAGCAGCTACACCATCTTACATTCCACCAGCAATATATGAGGATTGCTACTTTGCATTTTACATCTTTTAACTCAAGCTATCTTAGTGAATGTGAAATGGTATCTGTTTGCATTTCTCCATTGGCTAATGAAAGCCCCTGGTGGCACTGTGAGTTAAGCATTGGGCTGCTTGACCATAAGCTGCTGTGTAGGAAAGAGATGAGACCTTGTGCTCATGTAAAGATTTACAGTCTTGGAAACCTATGCGGGCTGCTTTAATCGACCCGGTGGCAATGGACTTGCTTTGGCTTTGGAATGGCTTATGAAAGAAGTCTGGTGGGAGTGTAGATTAGGCATTGGGCTATGAACCGCGAGGAATATTCAGCTATATGCTCATGTGAAGATGAGATAAGAATAAGGCTTAATTTTTTTCCAGACCACTATTTAATTGGTAAATAACAGCCCCCTTTTCACTGATTTAGTCCATATTAAATTCTCATGTATGTAATGCTAAAATATGTTTAATTAAATGTTACTCTTTCCTTATTACCCTTATTTAGATTTTCCGTAGATTTTATATAAATTTTAGAATTCACTTTCATGCTACAAAAAGAAAATTATTGGTATTTTATGTTGAATCTTCTACTCTACAAACAGAATTTGTGTGTATGAGAGACCAAGAGAGAGAAATTCCTCAAGAATGTTTTGCCTATGTCTTTATATAGATCTTACACATATTTAGTTTATTTTTGTTTCATTTATTTATTGGCTGTCATTACAGTTGTAAATGGGGTCTTCTCTTTTTCCACTCCATTTTCTAACTGATTGTTTATATAAAAGCGTACTTTCAAGTTATTAATTTATAATCAGCCATCATTTTGAATTTTCACTTTATATTAGTTTTATGTTATTAGCATCTACCAATAGTAAAAGTTGTCTTCTACTTTCTTACTGCTGTTTTTTCTCATATATTTGTATTTTCTGGTAGATGAGATATGAATACTGGTAGTTCTAGAAAAAATGCCTTATACTAACGATAATAAAACACATTTTTGTTGGACCCTTCTTGTGACATCTTGTATTTCAGAGGAGTTGCTTCCTAATGTCTCCATTGAGGGAGGGTGGCGTTTGGTGTGTTGAGGTTGCTATTTTGCCCTCCGGGAACTATCAGTCATTTCTTAAAAAGAGCTCGCATTAGCAGTGAATATTACTTTGTTAAATGCCTTTTCAGCATGTATTATATGCCTGTATGATTTTTTTCACCCCCATAGGTCGTTTTAGAATGGATGATATGAATAGATTTTTTCATCTTGAATTAACTTTGCATTTCAACTTGATCATGGTATGTTCATTTTTTTAATATTCGGTGCTCATTTTATTTCATTTTTTGATAGGTTTATCATGTTCATTCTGATAACTATGAGACACAAAACCAGCACTATGGAAGAAGCTTAACAAAAGAAACTATAAAGGATGGTAAGGATTAACAAATATTTCAGTGCTTTTATTACTGAATAATTATCAAAATAATTTTAAAGGTATTTTAATTTTCAGTCTCCTTTAGAATAGTTTTTAAAAAAATATTTGGTAAACAGACTTTTGGTTCACGGGGTACTCATAATCCTTGTTCTATGCATGACCCTCTTATTTTCCTTTTAATGAATCACATTTTTTAAGGATTATACTTTAAAAAAACAATGAGCATTTCTGAGCCAACAATATGGCCTAAATATTAGATGTTGTCTTAAAAAGAGTATTCAAGTAAACATTGTAAATCATAGTGTATTAGAGCTCCCTGTTACATATGAAACCTGAAAATATTTGTATTTGTATAAATACCATTTTATTGAAAATTTCCCTTTCAGTTGAACTATATATCATAAGTTTTTGGAGCGACGTAATGAACAAGCAAGTGGTATTAACAGATTTAACGTCTGTTAATATGTATACTTCTTACGATATCTTAAAAAGAATTTCCACAAAAAAAGGGGGGAATTTCCTGAAGATCATATTGTATTAGAAGTTAGAAGTTTAATCTTAGCTTTAGCTAGATGGGGAACTAAGTTGAATCTTGGCTCTGGCTTAGCTTATATGTACTGTAAAAAATTTTGAGAATTTTCATTTTATGTGTAACAAGCAAGCACTCATATTTGTCACCTTAACAATTCATGTTTGCCTTGTTAATAATTGTTGTGTTGCCTAGCTCCTGTCAAGGTGGCTCCCAGCTCACCACAAACCCCACGTATGACAGTGTGCACTGCTCCCTCGGGCTTTCTGGGTCGGCATCTTTCCAGAAGCTGTTCACCAGGCCTGTCTTGTGCAGATAGATGTGCTATATGAATTCACATCACCAGATGAGCAGGGATGGCTAACTACTTAACCAATTGCAACATAATAGTTAGTTTGCCAATTTATTAAAATGCTTTGCCAGGCTAACAACTTGGTTTGATCTGAGAACATTTAAAAAAAATGTGCTGTTCTATATTGGGGAAGTGGCTATTAATAACAAAAATTTAAATTATATATAACCTAAATTTACAAATATGATTAAATAGTGATAAATAACTTTAAAAGATGCCTAATAATATGGTAAGTTAAAACATTTAAAAGTCTCAATTTGAGTAACACATTTAGCTCTGAGAGTAGTGCTGAATCTTAGAAGAGAACTGAACTTCTTTGGGTGAAAAAAAAAGACTGATTTAGTTAAAATTACTGAGAACAGATACAAATCAGTGTTTGAAATTATGAGAAGGACTTGCTGCTATCATTAAATATCCTTATAATTTCATCCTAGGCTTTAAATTAGTTTCTGGTTATGTTGTAAATATTCATAACAAAACATTTACCACATGAACAACACATTTCAGTAGCATTGATTACATTCTTAAAGTTTTCCATCAATCCTGCTATCATTTTCCTAAAGGCTCTACCACCATTAACATAAAACAATACCCCCTAACCAAAACTTCCCTCTCTCCTCTCCTTCCCTCTGCTGGTAGTCATTAGTAATCTTTGATATTCTGTGTATTAGCTTATTTCATATAAGTGAGATCATCCACCTTGTGGCATGCATCAAGACTACAGTTGTTTTTAATACTGAGTAGTAGTTCATTGTGTCTGTCTGCCAAATTTTGTTTATCCATTCATCTTTTAATAGATATTTTGATTGTTTCCACCTTTTGCTGTAGTGAAAATTGTTATAAACTTTCTGTTTGTGTTCATTCTTTTACTTCTGTGTATATTCCTAAGATTGAAATAGCTGGTTTTGACAGGTAGTTGTGTGTTCCACTTTGTGAGAACTGCCAACCTGTTTTCACCAGTGACTGCATCATTTTACCTTCCTACTAGGAGAGGGTAGATTACTTCTTGAATGCGATTGTCTCAAACAAATATTCTTTACTATAAAATTCCTACAGTAGCAATTGAACCAAATCATGACGTTACATTCCTTAACTGAATGTACATATAGAGCTAAACTACTAGTCTACCTGTAATGAATTTTTTGGTTTTGTTTAAATTTAAGAATTACCTCACTTTATATAGAGTGTCATTTAAATGTCTTTGAATATGGTCATCTTCACTGAAAACTATGTTCACATCCAAATTTCTGTTCATGCCTAGAATTCTTATTTGTGCAATTAAAAGAATGACGGAGGAGGGGAAGGGGATTGAAAATTTGTAGCTTTAATGTGTTAATTTCCTAAGTGAATGCAATCTTATATTTATTGTAACCCTAAAATTTCCTTTTTGTAGGAGTCTCCAAGTTTTTCCATAATGGATTCTGCTTAAGAAAAGATGCCATTGCTGCCAGTATTCAGAAGATTGAGAAAATTTTGCAGTGGTTTGAAAGCCAGAAGCAGCTTAATTTTTATGCAAGTTCATTACTGTTTGTTTATGAAGGTTCATCTCAGCCAACCACTACAAAATCGAATGACAGAACTTTGGCAGAAAAGTTTTTGTCCAAAGGACAACTGTCAGATACAGAAGTCTTGGAATACAATAATAACTTCCACGTGTTGAGTTCAACAATGAATGGAAAAATAGAGGCTTCAGTAGGCAAAAGTTTATCTAAAATGTATGCTCGTCACAGGAAAATGTATTCAAGAAAACATCACAGTCAGGCTTCATTGAAGGTTGAAAATCTGGAGCAAGACAATGGGTGGAAAAGCACGCCCCAGGAACATTTAAATGGAAATGTGCTTTCCAAACTGGAACAAGTTTTCTACCACCTTCCCACAGGTTGCCAAGAGGTTGCAGAAGTAGAAGTGCGAATGATAGATTTTGCTCATGTGTTCCCTAGCAACACAAAAGATGAGGGATATGTTCATGGGCTAAAGCATTTAATTACTGTACTGAGAAGTATTTTAGACAATTGAATCCTTTGATGCAATCTTTTGAAGGAGTGGGCCGATCACAAGGGAACAGTGGTCAATATCCCTGTACTTGTAATACTATGTAAAAAATTTGTATTGTGAGTCTACATTTTATTTGTCTTTATACTTTTGGTGGAAGGGTTTAACTTTTTTATAATCTTACTCAGGAAAATATTTGTTCATTAGAAAACTATGAAGAATAAGGAAACTTAGGAATGTTAAGCAGGGACCGTGGTGGTACATGGCTTTTAATGATCTGTTTTGCTCAAGCAAAATGTAAACCATTTTTCAGTCATTAAGAGTTTAGTTAACCTTCTGTAGCCAGTTTATCATGAAACCTCTGTCCACCCCACTCTGACAGTGAGCCATATTTAACTCACATTATTAGAACCCCTACGGAACTCTAGCAAGCACAGGTGGATGCCCTCAGCATTGCTACGTATGATGTTATTAAAACTGGAGGAAATGATACTTCAGAAATACGTGCTGTTTAGGGTCTCTAGGAAAGGTTCAGGCCAGCATATCAAAAGGTGCTTCTTAGTGGAGTTATTTAGAATTGTTTGTATTTCAAAGCAGATTTTTCCCTTTGATTTTTAGGTATACAGACATAATATTTCAAAAATAGTTCACTTTCAGGAAAAAGCACAACAGCAATGTGAAATTCTTGCCAGACACAGGGGAAGAGAGGTTATTTACAAGGAACAAAAATTTATGTATTTTAAAAATCCTTCATTTATGGAAAAATTGGATTTACTAAGGTACACGAGGTATCATTAACCATAGCAGACCTTTTCCTTTTAGCTGTAGCTTCAAAGGGTGGATAATTGAAGATATGTTTGATATTGCCTTATTTCTCCCTTAAACAACTTCTGAGAGCTGGGTTTTTTTTATTCAAATTTTTTTATTTCCATTTCAGCATTAATATAAATGTATGTTGCTAAAAATAGTGTTTCTCAGAATTCTTCAAAGGACATCTAGTAATGTATTACTAAAATTACTCTCATATGTTAATTGGTACATTATATAGAGTTCGATACATACCTAAATTCATCTTCTCATCCACTCTTCCTCAAAACAGTTTTATATCACATTCAACAGAAACATTATAATTTACTAATTTTATGGAGGGCAATGCTACTTTTCCCGGAAAAGAAGGCTAGATTTTTAAGTATTATCTGGGTTTCATACTTACCAACTTACAAGAAAGGTATTTTTAATTAAAAAATGTAAATCTTGGAAATTAAATTTGCAAATATGTTTGATATTTATGGTCCCACTATGGGCATTTTGATTCACTAAGAACACTTCTGCATTGCTGAAGAATTTTGCCATTTTCCTGGAAGAGGTTTAGAGTTGTGAATTGTTTAAATACCCTTGCCCCTCAATAATTACAAATTAAATCTTTAAATCCAAATGGCTGGTTTGTGGTCTGGAAGAAAGTACACCAAATTTGTGTTTATCTTCCCACCCCTCCCTGAGGATACTTTGCAAATACCTGCTTCCAAACAGTAGTACCAAATACTCAATAAATTGTTGTTTTGGTAAACCTATTAAATCTGATATACATAATTAAAAATTCATATGCAATTTGTCATAGCAAAATTTGATGGTGTTTTCCATAGAGTATTCAGTGTCTACTACCTAAGCAATTATTGGCTGTAGCTTTTTAAAAAAAATTTTATTTTTATTGGGGGCTCATACAACTCATCACAATCCATATATACATCAATTGTATAAAGCATATTTGTACATTTGTTACCCTCATTCTTTTTTTTAAAAATTATTTTATTGAGGGCTCGTACATTTCTTATCACAGTCCATACATCCATCCATTGAGTCAAGCACCTATGTACACCTGTTGCCCTCATCAGTCTCAAAACATTTGCCCTCTACATTAGCCGGCTGTAGCTATTTTGGTAGAGATTAATTTTAAAACATAATGTCAGACATTTTATTCATATTTTTTTTCTTACAATATGGAGTTTTGTGGTTATTTGGGAAGTTGTTCAATAAATCTTAAACTCAGATAATTAAATACCACTTTGAATTTAAGACCAGGAGTCTTTTTTTTTATGAGTTAGCAGCAGCCTATGTACAGTGAATTTAATAAGCTTAAGTATTATCAGATTGTTTTTGCACATTTTAGCTCAATAAAGTCTGAATCAACTAAATAAAGATTTTCATTCATGTTTAGAAGTATAAGTTTGTAAAATCAATGTCTTACGTTGGTGATACAATAGATCGGGTTCTTATTTTGTTTTACTACAAGAAGTTTCTTTTTCTGCTTTTCAGGGAAGGTATTGACATTTAAATCTGTTTGTTTACATTTTATATCACTGTTATCCAAGGCCCGTTTTTGTTTTATGAGATTTATCGCCTCAGAGACTTCGTGGGGCCATTTTACTCTTGTAGGGCTGCTATGAGTCAGAATTGACTCTGGCTGGGAGGGGAAGTAAGCTTGTATGTAACAGAATAAGTAACTGACATGACTATTACTATCTAGTCATTTAATAGTATGCTGAAATTTACCACTATGGAATGAATAATCACTATTCAAGTTTATTTGGATGTGTAGTTATTTAATATGGAGATAATCCTGGGTTAATAAGATGATCATATGTCCCCTCACGCAAGACAGCATTATTTTAGTGTATTTCTTGTGGAATTTGCTCACTAAAGAACTTTGAGGAGTTGTGAATAATGAATAATACATTAATAAAAAAGTTAAATTGTATAATAGTTTTATAATAAAGTACATTAATTGATATTTTACTACAGAAGGCAATTGTTGCATAGATTCAAATGAATTAAAAATCAATGACAAAATGGTAAATATTTTAGCCAAGTAGTTTTTTAAGAAACATTTATGAGAAGGTGTGTATTAAGCGACTCTTACCACGGAGCGTGTGTCTTTGTAACTCAGTATGCATTCTTTGTGTGTCTGGAAAGATTGTCCCCTTAGGACTACACTACAGAGGCTTTGCGTCATGTTCCAGTGAGTAAGGATTTTTTTTTTTAATTTGATTGAGTATAATCTTGTCTCTTATGATTTCCAAAATGGTGTTCTTCATATCACCTCTCGTGAAGTATTTTTCAAGTTTAGCACAGTTTAAGAGACAGACATTACATTCTAGAGATTTTCCGACTACAATTCTATTGCTTCATGGCGCTGACCGTGCATTTGGTCCTAGCTTTAGGAATGGTCTAGGAATTCGGAATAAGAGAATGGTAAAGCAATGAGAGTTGTAGTTGTGCAGTTGCAAGTCAGAGTTGACTTGATGGCAAGAATGGTGATAATTTTGGTTTTGGAGTTATAGAAATTGTGTCCTTTTTTTTAGGGGGTCGACATTTTGATAGCATTTTATCTAAACAGTTTGGCGTTATCCTAAAACCTGATTTGCGTTGTAATTTTATGATACTTCATAGTATTTCTTATCCAGTGCTTTCAACCCTGATTTGATATATTTTTAGCCTCACTTGTCCTTTTTAGTTCTCTGTATAGTGTGTTGTTTCATAAGCTAGGAGTCCTCAGTTTCTTTCTTAAAAACTCTCAGATTTGTCATCTAAAGAAGTAGCACTTGTATATTAATGCCATTAGAGTTATCTTTGAAGGCCTTATTTCTTAGTTTATTAACAAATACTTGCTGGATGTCTACCACGTGCCACACGTCTTTAGGCCCCGGGTATAAGTCCCCGACCATTCCCATTCTTTTCTAGACGGGATGGGGACTCAAAATATATACAGGAAGAAAGACATTTAAAAACGACTCAAGATTAGATGAAGTTAAAATAGTAAGTATTGAGTTGCAATGAAGCAACTAACTGTGTTAGGTTAAAAATAATATTTTCCAGCATTGTAACCTATATTTGACTTCTGGTTTTTGAGTCATGAATTACAGTTAGCTTATACAAAGGCCTTAAGATTTCACTTTTCTTGCCAGTAAAGGTGTGTTTACTTACACTCTCTATTTAGAGTAGTGTTTAACACAACATTAATTTGACAAACATCCTGTGACATATTCGCAAGCCAGTTATTACACTTTTTAATTGAATTTTATAATTTCATACCAATCTTTTAAGCCCCAATCTTCAAACCACCGGTATTTAAAATTTGGCATTGAATAAGAAATTACTTTTTGATGTGTAGTTTTTATCGCTACTTAAAATGCTTGTTTTTAAGCATTTTATGAAGATTGGAACCTCCATGTTTTTGAGTTAATGTTTAAATTGTCACTACTTTCAAGGAGCTGATAAGAACATAGTACTCATACGAATGGACAAATTGATAACTATTTTTAAAATTTATTAAAAAATTGTCCTATAGTTAAATTTTGGCCTGGTATTTATTCACTAATACATTAACAGATTAACTATGAAATATGTATGACGCACCTGAACAGAAATGGAAATGGTGTGCACAGAGACACTTTACTATGGGGATTGTACTGGAAGATCACGAAAGCATGTGAAATTGCACCCGAAGTTGTGTTCTTAGTGACTGTAAGCAGCAGTGGTAAACTTGTTGTACTTGATGAATGAATGTACTTGGTCTGGTCTCAGTTACTTTGGTTTAAATGTCTAAATATCTTTTATTTTTAATGTGTAATTTGTACTATTAGGGGGGTATTGACTGCAGAGGCTACTGTTATGTGATTTGTGTTTTTGTTTTTATTTTATAGAATTATCTAATGTGATATACCAATTTTTATAACTTAAGTGATATTTAGATATCCTAATGACTGTATATTTGACAACCTATTAAAATGTTTTCCATTGGAGCTCTTTTCATTTATCATAGCATGTCTCATCGTAGTTTGAAAATGTTATGCATTCAAAAAAAAAAAAGAAGAAAATGTTAGGCATTCAACAACTTACTTAAATTGCCAGAAGCTGTAGGAATCCTAGGGAATACAAAGATAAGATATTAGTACAAATAAGCATACACATTGGGAATGATAAAATGTGTGAACGCTGTGGTAAAAATATATTTTTTCTATGTCATTATCAATCTCCTTGGAAAAGTTTACTCCGAGGGAAAAAAGTACTTCCTTGCAGATTGCAACCCAATGCGCAAGCACTTTGCCACCAGAACACCTCTTTACCCAGGACTAGGAGATTTTAAAGAACTAATAAGGTTGATCCTGAATCTCAAGATACATACTGTCTGGTGGGGAAAACAAATAGCAAATGTGGAATCAAATGTTGGGGCTCTGACTGGTCCTTAATTTAACAATGTTCAGAGCCTGACCACTCAGGTTATATCAGAGACAGAGAGGACAATTTGAAGTGTTATTGCTATATCTCACTCACTGTCTGTTATTGATATATCTCACTGTCATTGAGCAATTCTGAGTCATAGTGACCCTCTGGGTTGCTGAGGCTCCAAATCTTACTGCAGCAGAGAGCCTTATTTTTCTCATCAGTAATAGAGCGGCTGAGTGGTGGTTATCACTGGGTACAAGGTCCACAGTTTCTTCACGGAAGAAAGACTGGGCTTTTTACTCTTGGAAACTCACAGGGGCAGTTCTAGTCTGGCCTATAGGGTCGCTGTGAGTCAGCATGGACTCATTGGCAGTGGGAGTTAGTGGAGTGGCTGGTGGGTTTGAACTGCTGGCCTTGCAGTTAGCAACCCAATATGTAATCCATTCAGCTACTAGGGCACCCTTTATTACATCAACTACATAAACTCAAAAGCTCACTGCCATCATATTGATTCTGATTCAGCAACCTGGGGGCAGAGTAGAACTGCCCTTTTGAGTTTCTGAGACTTCAAACCTTTACAGAAGTAGAGAGCTGCTTCCTCCTGGAGAGTGGTTGGGGAGTTTGGGTCACTGACTTTTTGGTGAGCAGGTCAATGCTGCTGCATACTACACCCCCAGAGCTCCTTTTATAGCTGTGTACTATTAAAAAAAAAAAAACTCACTACCATAGCAACCCTATAGTAGTGGTTTAAATAGCAACCTTTTATCTTATCTATGAATAAACAAGTCAGCAGACTGGTTTTGTTGGGTTTATTCTCGGCAGTCAGCTCGCTCTTCTGCTGGGGGAGGGTTGGGCTAGTCTACGGGGACTGACTGCAGTGATGTGTTTTATATCCCTTCCGAAGGCCAGCTCAGCATTTTCTTAGGGGTAGCAGAGGCCCAAGAGCAGAGGCTGAACCATACACACACTTTCCAAGCCTCTGTTTGAGTCAAGTTTGCTGGTATTGTCAGATCAAGGTCAGTGTTGGAGAATACTGACAAACAAGAGCATGAAAAACAATGCAGCCAACCACATACCAGTTACTTCAATCCCAGACCAGTTTGCCCAGAGGAACAGCCAAGGGAGACTTGTCTTGGCCCATGGTTTCATCAGGCAGCCATGTGGAAGTCGGCGAAACAATGTGGAAACAATATGGATATTTAATACTCATCAGGACCAGCAACCATTGCAGAAATGAAACACCCTTTTCTTGTTCCTTTGAATTCATCCACATTTTCACCTATTTTCATCTCCAGTGGCGTTGTTGGGTCCCACTGAGTTCTGACTCATGGCGACCCTACGCACAAACACTGCGCAGTCCCGCGCCATCCTCACACCTGTTCCTATGCTTGAGCCCGTTGTCACAGCCATGGCCTTCTTTTTCACATACTTCACCAACCCTGGTGTTCTTCTCCAGGTACTGGGGTCTCCTGACAACGTGTCCAAAGTCTGTGAGATGGAATCTCGCCATCCTTTTCTCTAAGGAGC